CCCGTATAGACGACGTTATTTCGCATCATTCACTCTCAGTTCAGTCCTCGAATGCAACCTCACGCGATGCAGCATTCAAGTTTCGACACAGAATGTGTTCTACCCGAAAACTTCTCCAATAAATATTACATGTGGCTTCTCAGTAAAAATACGTAAGTTCTACAATTAATATTTTTGATTAATACAAGTTATATCATCCTCTAACTTAATGCCACGTCTCATAATGTAGCAAAAATGTCACTACTTGTTTAATTGACATTGTAACATCCGGTGCACGTGCACCATAGCGCCCCGTCCTTTTACCAAGCGAGCGCGAGCAGCGCTGGCCCATAGCGACGCCGAAACTAGCCTCCCGCGGAACTCAAACGAGCGCCTTCCACGGCGTCGAGGCCTCCGCACTCCTGCCCTTTCCTTCCAACCGCTACATATATATTTACGTTTCTTCTGCACGTAGACGCAGCAGAAGAAACGTCCGCGTCGTAAAACACGCGCAGTGTAATATTAACATTAAAGTCAGATTATAATTATCAATCTTTATTTCATTTCCTTGCCCTTAAGGCCCTTTCTCTATCCTTCCCTATTCCCGTTTCGCACAGACACCAGAGAGCGAAGCGAGTGATGAAACATCACAGCTGCCCCAAGGAAAGAGATCTAAATATTTTCATAAATTCCTTGTACACCTTAGCGTGTCACGGGCGCTCTATCTGACAATTCCTCTGAACTCTCTGGTTCATTTTTCCCTGTGCTAACGAAGGAATACGGAAGCTCGAAAAATCCCGTTAAAAATAATAAAAGATAATTCTAAAAAGTACGATAACAATTCAATTCGTGCCTTTTAAAGGCACTGGTGACAGCAGCCTGCCCCCACGCGTAAACACGTGCCGATAGCAAATTTCTCCGGAAGCCAAGGCTTCGCCCCGCGCGCCCCAGCTCTGCGCCCCGCGTCCCACGAAACCTCTGCAGCGTCTCGAATCACAACAATCGCGACGAACACGCGACATCGGACGTAACAGACATATTAGTCATATTTAGTTTAAATTGGAAATAAAGGTTGTAAGAGTTGATACGTCTTATACCAACATTGTAAGTAGCGAAGTATGCAAAAGGCATTCAGTTACCGGGGATTTGAATCTATGTTTCTTCTATGACGGACATGTAGGAGATGTTGGGATTCGTAATAGTGATCAGCAGCTCGAGGAAAGATGAAACAGTGGAGACCACCGATGTGTAATAGTCGGATTCGTCGACTGAATGGGCAGATTGCTTTGAATGATGTTATAATCGGTAGATTCAGATTCAGGTAAGTCCCCGAAGGCGAATATATCGGTTCTGTAGGCGGTATGATTGACTACAATATGATCGGATAATATTTAGATATTGTAGTCGAATTGAAGAACAATATTGTCTAGAGCTCTGAACTCTCCCCTGAACTGAGGTCTATGTAAGATTCTCGTGCTGTCCAGATTCTGTGTAGTTTCTTCCAAAGGGACCATTATTATCGAGTAGTTGTATCTGTCCTTGTTTATCTATCTTCACCAATATGTAGATTTGTGTGACATCGCTGCTTCCTGTCGGCAAAACCATAACTTCAGTCTGCGTGGCTGCTTTTGTTTCGTCCAATTTTTTCACGTCTTCAGTTGGGAATTTCTCAACTTTATCTTGTTCTTCCTGAGGAGCAACCAGGATAAGTTGAAGGTCCGTTTTTGCCTTCTCTGATTCTATCGAGACTAATGTAGCGATATCATATTTACATGACGTTTGCGTTCGACGTAGTGACGGTGGTCAACAGATTTTTCTACGCTTTATACGAGGCCTGAGATTCTTTGACGGAAGACTTGAAAATTGTGGGAGCCGTTTGTTTCGACTGAGCGACCGTCTTGACGATCGGCGAATTGACATTGGTGATAGCGACGACCGACTGGTGACTGCTTTGTTTGAGCGCTTTGCATCGTTGACATAATCGGCTCTTGCATTTTCTGGACGACGATCTTCTAAGTTTGAACCTGCGGTTGCCAGTTTGAGGAATGACGACATTTTGTACGACTGACGACATGACGGTTTTGCCCTTTGGCTGCACTTACAGCACCATTGTTATCGTTTGGTGCGTATCGCTCGGTGAAACAACGCCTTGAATTACTTGATACTTACAATGTTGATATAAAAAGTGCCCAGTAAGAAATGACTAATTGAATTGGTATCAAATTGACATGACGAAGTTAATTTAATATCAATTAAATATCTAATTGTCGGTCATTTCTCGCTGGGTTAGAACCTTCGTTCCAACTTAAACTAAGCATAACGAATATGAAATCCAAACGAGTGGTGATATTCGTGCTACATTGCGAGATATGGCTTTCAGTTAGAAGATGATGGAATATTATATTAATGAAAAATATTAATTTTTTTATATTTACGTATTTTTTCTGAGAAGTCGCATGTAATTTTTGGAGAAACTTTTGGGAAGAATACGTTCTGTGTCGAAACGTGATTGCGTGGGGTTACATTAGAGGACTGAACTGAGACTGAATGGCGTGAAACAGCGTCGTATGGACAAATCTTGAAAAATTCCTGAATACATATTCTCCATGTTTGTTTATAAAGAATTATCACGTTATGATTCCATAACCCAGCAAATACAAACATATAACTATTATATTGCTACCATGTAACGGAATATAACAGATAATATAACGTGTGCATAACAGTCTACGTCTACGTTAGTTGTAATTTTCCACTCATGAATTTTTGCTGTTATGAAATATAAACATAACATGCACTCAAAATGTTATAAAACTGTTGTATAGAGGTAATATAATTTGCTGCGATATTATAATATAACTGTACTGTAGCTGTTATGTACACTAACCTAATCTAACCTAATTTATCTTTTGCACATTAGAAACGGTCTTTAAAGCAATTCTAAAAGCAAACGCAACAGTTTGCTTTCGCTTAGAATTAATTCAAAGACCTTTTCTAGGATTAGTACATACAAAGTACAATTCTTGAAAATTGTTTTTGCGTGGATAGGACAAAATAATAAAATATAACAATTATAAACTGTTTAATTTAGTAATTTTATAATATTATTTATATCTTTTCTTGTTCATCAAAATATTTTTCATATATAATATATATTTCTCATTTTAACGTATTATAAATGTTAAATAAAGTATAAAAGATTTTCAAAAGTTTATATATAGAACAGTTAAAAGCAAATTTAATGTAGTAGACTAGATAAACAAAAATATCACATTGATAAGGAACCATTGATTTGAGTAAGAATATGATATATATATATATATATATATATAT